CCAAATTTCTATAAATTCCATGACTCACAATTAATATAACGATCCGTTGTTACTCTGGTTGCCTCATCAATTTATCAGTACTTAATACTTACCAATACCGAACTTAGATATTTTATTATCTGAGTCCGACATTGGTAAGTACTGGGCCTTTTGACTTAGGGGAAAGTCGGGTAGCCCCGATACTTAAGGAAAAAATAGATTGTACACATGTAAAAACAGAAAACAAAGTGTCGAGACTTTTTTAAAAGTAGAAACATTTATCTATTGAATAAGAAACTAAAAAAAAAATTATTGCGTACCTTTTTAATATACAAAACATAAAAGAAAAAATGTTAGAAAAAAGGCATGTTTTAAAATTGGAAGGTAGCCTCGGGCACATAGTTTACCTAGATTTTACCTCTTTTTAACCCGTGCGACATAAATGTAATATATAATTAATTAGCATTGGAATACTCTAAAAATATTTAAAAAAAAAAATTTGATATATAAGTAATGAGAAGGAAAATGTCATCGTTTAGAAATATAAACATTAGCTTTTTATTAATAAAAAAAAAACAGTTTTTTCAAATCTTAGATCTTTTTTATTGAAACTAAATGAATTACTATAATGAGTTTGTGTATTATATTAAGTGTATTATTATTTTTATAAAATAGCTGCTCATTTTTGATATGTAAATGGATTAAGTTGTCCGGAACCACCTTCCAAACATGTGTCTGATACCACCCGATCATACCTTATTAACAAATACTAGTTTTAAAACCAGTGTATTAAGTATTAAACAAATTTTTTTTTATCAATAAAAAGTTATTAGTTTACATAAAAATTAGATATATTAATATGTGAATCAAATATGATGATACCTCGCTCTTCTGGTGGTGGAAAACAATATCTTGAACTCCAACCCAATTACTTTGACATATTATGATAGATATTTTGACTCAAATAATGTTTTTATAGTATTTAAAGTCACATAGCTTCTTAAGTTTAAGCTGTACATCAAGTTTCCGGAGTTACTGCCGTTCAGGGCTACCCGACTTTCCCCTATTGATTTTACGTGGCTGACTCCATCTGATATCATAGTCACTTACATTGGATACTTAAATCGGAGAACATGCACTTGCATAAAATACTAAGGACGTTAACAACTGCTGAACTTTTATAATTCGAACTCCTAAAAATCAAAAGATCATTTAAATCAAACAGGTTGTTTGATTCCTTCAGGGTTTAATATTTTATGATTACTAACTCCTATAATTCAAATGTTCTTTTAACTCTAACGTATTTTGAGATCCCATCATCCCTTTCATTCCTCGAATTACATAATTTCAACTGTTTTTTTCCCCCCTCTCTAACATAAAAAATATTTTCTGCTTAGTACGAGTCTCGCTACTCCTTAAAACATCACCTATTTGGACTTTTGCTGAACGGCTCTACAATCTACAATCTTTTTATAGAATCACCACCCCTGCGTCTATTTGACTGGACAGTACCGTCAGCATGATCGATGTGCTGCAGAAACAAATAAAGCTTTTGTTGTATCATATAATAAAGCAAGGCAACATGGGTTGTGGGTGATGGAACCTCTAGTACATGATTTTGTCAGTAAAAGAGCTGTTTGGTGAAAAAAGAAAAACTGAAAAATGTTATAAAAAATAAATTATTTATATTTAATACTATTTGATTAATTCCTGTTTTAAACACCTGATACAATATAGACCAATACGGTTTATGTTTAAAAAAAATACAATAGTAAAAGGCCGTGACTTTAAATCTATTTGTTAAATTTAAGTTCTGGCGTTTAAATTTCAATTCTCCAGCGTATACTTAAATATATAATTTTTAAATGCAAAAAGATATGACCCTGCCATCATAATATTGTACGCAATAAGCAGATCAAATGTTACTTGAAGTATAAATGTTTATTCAAGAATGTCGAAGCATACAAACAAAGCAAAAAATGCCCAAACAATGCTTTAAGATAATACTGAAAGCAATACTTCGAAACAATACTGAAGCTTTGAAGCACTCAGCATTGATTTAATAAAAGACAATGCTTCAAAGCAAAGTTAAAGTATGTTTAAAATTTTTACAGAAGATAAAGTTTCGATGCATTCGGGAAAAAAGCACTACAAAAATAAATACAATCCTTGTTTCATTGTTAAAATTTATGAATTATCCACAAGGAAGAATGCTACAAAGTGGGTTGATTTGTTACGGCAAATAAAGAAAGATTACATAAAAATATTTATTTAAATAAATAATTTCTCATTTAAACTAATATGAATGTAACGTGTTTTATCATTGTAATTTACTGGTACCTGTTTTTACCGGTCAAACGGTAAAATTACCTGTAAAAAAACATTCATAAACTACAAAAAATTAAGCAGTGCGTTGTTTGAAACACTTTAAATACTGTTGCTGTGGTTGAAATAGTATTTTAAAGGTTAAAATTTTTTTTACCGACGATAAGTTGCGCTTTAAACAACTTAATTGCGCATTGCGCAAATTATTTTTATGAAAATAATAGCTTATTTAAAAACTATAGTTTTGAAAAATTTTCTTTATTTTGAAAATTTCATCGTGAGTTTTTTTTAAATTTAATACGTTACTTTGTTGTGCGTATACTTGACACATTAAAGTATATATTTTCATAATATATTAGTGGCTTAGTGGGCAGAAGACGTGTTTTACACGTTTAAAACATGTCTTGCGCGCTGGGATAACTGTATTCAATGAAAAATATTTAATGCATACAATATAAGCTTTTTTACGTTATGAAGAACGTCTAGCGACTCCAATTTAAATGAATTGAGGATGTTAGTCAATATATCTCAAAATATATGTCTAATAAAAAAGATTTTTTTTAGATAATAAAAAAAAAAATTATTCATCTTTGCTCATATTACATTAGTAAAATGAAAATTAGGAACTTTCGATATAAATAAAAAAGTTTGTAGCGCAAACAAAAAACATTTACAAGTTTATTGTCGCGATTTTTTTAAAAATTTTTGTTTAAATTCATTGACATCAATTTATTTTGTCACAGGTGGGGGAAAGGCACTTGAGATTTGGGAGCGTTGTTTAATGATTCTACATATTTAGAACTGATAGTGGTGAGTTCTATATATTAATTTTCCATATTTTAGTAGCTTTGTTTTGCGTGTCGGATCTAGCATATAAGATTTTTCTCTTCTCCGCATAATCCATTAACTTGGGATTTAAAATATGATTCTTACAATTCACTATTATCGTTTTAATAAAGACTGGTTGAAATTGACTAATGTTTAGTTCAACATAATAAATTATTTACAACAATATGTCGAAATATGTAAATTACTCTTTATTCATAAAGTATACCGGCACGTTAAAAAAACGCTTTTTAGTTATATATATAAAAATAATTAAAAACAATTTCGCCGATTGCGATAAAGATTTTCATTAAATTTTACTTGTATTTATAACAATGCAATAATAAAACTTAAAATCATGTAGGTCTTATCATCCAAAAACAAATTTACGTCCGCGACTGTGAATGTATTAAAAACGCGATTAATAAACTACAATAACAAATAAGATAAAACATTGTTTTAACTTATTTGTTTGTAATAATAATAATAACAATAATAGCAATAATAATAATTATTATTGCTATTATTATTATTGCTATTATTGCTATAATAATAGCAATAATAATAATAGCAATAATAATAATAGCAATAATAATAATAGCAATAATAACAATAATAGTAGCAATAATAATAATTTGTCAGAAGTCTTTCACTATAGTTGCTTTGGGATTGACAATGTACAAAAATATATTGGTACAATTCTGTAAAGCTGGTTCTTATTAATCTATTAATTCTTAAAATCTTTTATGTTTTTATTCTTAATGTGCTTTGTCGCTAAATTTCTTCCGCTTTTAATTAAAACAGAAAAAAAAAGTTCTTTTGATTTCTCGGTTCAAATTGAAACAGAAAAGTAATATAAAAACAGCGGCTAATGTTTTTGTTCTGTATATGATACAAGTTTGTTTAGTAATAATGAAACCCCCCACCAATAAAAAAATAGAAACTACCCTCAATTTTTGTAGTTTAATAAAATGATTTTTTTTTCATTTAGAAATATATATTTATGTTTAAAATGCACAATTCTCCACTAAGACGAAATCGCAATATTGCGTTGAAAAAATTTTTTTTTTTTTTTACACACCACCAACAACCAAAAGAACAGAACAAAATTTTCGCAAAAAAAAAAAAAAAAAAACCCGCAGAAAAAAAAAATTGTTTATTAATGTAAGTTTAATTCAGTTTAATGCATAAAGTTAGGTGTCAAAGACTTCGTTGCTATAGAAATACCTTTATAATTTATATACTTATTATATACGCATTCGATTTATATATATTTTTTGCAATTACTTTATTAATTATGCATGTGTCTTTTAGCATTTATCAAGTATTTTGTATAAAATCTTTTTTTTTTGAATGACTTATCAAACAGTCCTTATTTAATATCTATATTGTAAATCCAGAAATTAAAAAATATATTTAAATTAATTAAAAACAACAACAACAACAAAACGTCAAATTGGATTAAATATTGAATGCAACACAAACATTTTGATTTTACAAAACGCGTTCTCGCTAATCTTACAGTGCGGAGTACGCAAACGTGTTTATCTCTGGGTGATTCCCTCATTTAAATTTTTGCTCTTTAAGCTCTTTGTATCCTCAACTTATTTAAATTAACACTTGAAACAAAGTATTTTAATTCTTGGATAAAATGATTTGTTTGACAAATTCAGATGTTTTTAATAATTAAAGCCACATTAAATTTTAACTTATTGTTTAAGTTATATTTTCAAGAGCTTGTTTTTAAAGATCCTAATTGTAATGTTATTTGGTTTAATAATTCATGCATCAATAACGAATTTGCTGTGCATAACTTTATTTTTACTTTTATCTTTAAAACTTAATATTTTCTTTTATGGAAACTTCTTATT